ACTGGGTTTGAGTGAGAGGATAGAGGAATAGGTTTATTTATAGTAGACTTAAAAGATGTCATTAGAGACCCAGTGTAATTCAACAATACGGTTGCAATATTACAGATCAACAACACGGATACCATTCTCATTTATTCATTTTATTAAATAGATGTTTTGTTTTATCTGAATGTTCCAGGGTGTTCTCTGAATACCTTGAAGGCCCTGACGGTTCGCCACTGCTCAACACCCATATGAAACAGAACTGTACACAGATTTCTTTATGGATATTTTACTAATCACTCCCCTTTTAAACTGTATTCTTATTTTACTGTCGTAAAGTATTTCATACCTGTTTTTCATTCATGCTCTTATTGTTTTATAGCCTAACTATAATGATCATATGAAGGTGTGCCTCGGAAACACTTGTTTACATAAATGGTGATCCAAGTGTTTTGAGAGCCACTGAGATAACTTAGACTAAAGGGAACGATCCAAACACTGAGAGTCCTTTAGCTCACTGAGCTGAGGTTATCTGACGGAGAGGACTTTCCTTTCACTTAGTTCTAGAAACAACTTCTAATATCCGTTAGCGCAGCAACAACTTGCTCTCTCTCTCTCTCGCTCGCTCACTCGTGCGCTCGTGCCACACACACGGAGCCGAGCTTGAATGAAACACCCAGAAGTAGGCTACTTGTACTGTATTGTATCCAGACTCAGCACCAGAACAAATCTAAAGGGAGGGCATATGATTTTCATGGGAGGGCACACAACACCGCCACGTGCTGCGGGCCTGCGGCACAAATCAAACAGCGAGGCCAACGGCATCGCGTAAAGACGCACACAAATAAAGGGCAACATAGAAACCTCTTTTGAAGCATTGTGTGCGTGGCAGCACAGACAAAATCACGAGCAAGGCACACTTAAGGTTACGGATGGCAGCTTCCTCATCGCTGCACTCGGAGAGAAGTAGAGACGGAGACGATGAGCTGCTGTCAGCTCTATTCTGGCATTGTGCATGTCGTGAGAGCTGTGTGTTGCTGTGTGGGGAATGCTGTCCATTATTTAGACCAACTCTGCATCTTTGTGCTGCAGCGTATACTCAAACAGGAAGAGCGGGCGTGTCTGAAACTCGACCAACAACCAATCACATGAATCTCCCGCCCTGACTCACAAGCAGCGGTTTGATTGGCTAGAGCTTGTACTGGCATATGATTCGATTGGCTGACGCTTCTGCCGAGGCGTCAAAAGTTGAACATTGCGCAACTTTTGCAGCGACCCACGCCAGTAAAGCTCTGCCTCGCTTCCCACAATGCAGTTCGGCAAAAAGTGCCGTCACCCCATTCAAAGTGAATGGTGAAGCTTCAACGCACGCCGCTGTGTGGACGGGCCGTAATGCGTGTTTCCAGTCGCAAAAACCTTTGACAGTAAAAGCCGCATCAGATGAAGACGTATTGACTTTAAACTGTCTACAGGGGAATCAAAAGGCTGCGTCTGCTTCTAACGAGTCTTCAAGCCGGTCTGTTGTTGAACCATGCAGCGGCAAAAGTGCGCTTCTTTCCTGAAAACAATCTCCCTGATAACGATCCAGTTTCACCTGCTTGGGTTTATTAATCCCAAGATCATCTGGGGCTGTTGGTCTTTGAGCGGTTGCTGGCCCAATAGCACCTGTTGATGTGCTGCAATGTAGCGTCTGTAGTGGAGGCACCGGCACGGAGCAGGAGGAGGATGCTGGCGGGTGTGGTGCAGAGTGTGGCAACGCAGGTGGTGATGGCAGGGGCACAAGGAGCTGTGCCTCGGAGGACAGCGTTGGTGGCGGCCGCCTTGATGAGTCAAGGCTTGGGCTCGCTAACTCAGCCCCGGGGTTTGCCGAGGTCCAGTTTGTGACATTAAGGCGTGCTGCTGCAACGGCAGGTGCAGGTCGCCAGCAGCTGCATCGGCTGCAGTTCTTTCATCGCTATTTCGTTTTAATAAATCCTTAGACCTTTTAAGACAATTTCTGATGTCCATTTTGTAATTCAAACAGAAATGGGAGTCTACAGAATGCACAATACACAAATCCAGAATAGGCGGCAGAGTGTGACGCTGTGATTGGTCTAAATGTGGACGAATCACAAATCACACATTAATTTATTTGACGTAGCCTGCACATTTTTTTTTTAGTTACTATCTGACATCACATACATCATAGCATAAAAGTTCACAGTTTATTTATAATAAAAAAAAGTTAAAATATATATATTTTTTAAATGTTATAAATAATAAAAAACGTGTTTATTGGGGGAGGGCAGGAATGTCAAATGGGAGGGCCTGGCCCTCCCACGGCCCCGGGCATGACTGTAGCATATCATTTTCGAATCAATCATTTTTCAAATTATGAATTTCACATATATAAAAAAAAAACATACATTTCTTGGGGTTGCTTAGCAGTTGCTAGGCCAATTGTTGGTGTTGCTGTAGCAACTGCAAGCTCCCGCCTGGCGCCGCCCCTGCCGTCTTGTCTGCACACTTGTCAAAGCAT